TCTGTTGTGTTTGTGATATAGTTGGCAATTGTTTTAAAAGTAACACGTCTCACCACTGTCACAGGGGCGGAAACACAGAGCTGTCGAACGCAGATAAGCATCACTGATGTTTCGGTTTCATGTGTGACTTAAGCATTTCATATTTATATGTTTACACTTATCAGCTACTTATCTGTAAGTATAAAGAAGGAGGTGTAAGGAAGAGTCCATCATTTTTTAAACATCCTTACTTGGTTTTGCACACATGGGCGGCAGTAGCTCAGTCCATAGGGACTTGGGTTGGGAACCGGAGGGTCGCCTGTTCGAGTCCCCATCCGGACCAAAATATGGAGCGTGGACTGGTGGCTGGAGAGGTGCCAGTTCACCTCCTGGGCACTGCCGAGGTGCCCTTGAGCAAGGCACCGAACCCCCCAACCGCTCGGGGCGCCTGACCAAAGGGCAGCCCCCTCACTCTGAGATCTCTCCACTTTGTGCATGTATAGGTCCTGTTTGTGCATATGTGTGTCTTTCAGACCTGTGTGTAATTGACAAGCAAGAGTGAAAACATTGAATTTCCCCTCAGGGGGATTAATAAAGTGAATAAACTTAAACTCAGATATAACATGTTAATTAGAGTGCTCTAGGTGGATTTTTTTCTTAGCTTAGGACAGAGCCGGCAAGCTGTTTCCCTCCCATTTTCTGGTCTTTATGCTAAGCTAGCTAATCACCTTTTGGCTGTAGTCATTCATAATGCAAAACATTCACTGGTGCTAGTCTCTTAAACGTCTTTGGTAAATAACTGTACATTGAACATCTCTGGCTGAAAAAAAACAGTAATTTAAAGCCCTTGATGCTACTTGTGATGGGCATTTTTTAATCTTTTTCTGACATTTTACTGAGATAATGATTAATCATAAAAATAATAAACTGATTAATTGATAATAGGAATAACTTACTGTAAAAATAATGCTATTTTAGTTTGTTCTACAGTGTTTATTTAGAGAGATATCATGGTATAAAAGATTTATAAGGAAAATATGTTGGAGTACCATAAGTTCTAAGGTCCAGTGTGCAGAATATCAGGGCATCTATTGGTAGAAATAGAATATAACATTCATAACTAAGTTTTCATTAGTTTATAATGACCTGGAAATAAAAATTGTTGCTTTTTTGTTACCTTTGAATGAGCTGTTTATATCTACATATGGAGTGGGTCCTCTTCCACAGAGTCTGCCATGTTGTTCTACAGTAGCCCAGAACGGACAAACCAAACACTGGCTCTTGATAGGGCCATTTGTGCTTTCGCGTCAGCCACCGTAGTTCTCCTACATGCTTGGCACGTTTGAGAAGTTTCAGTTCTGCAACCTAGATGCCACTAAATCCTACACAGAGGACCTTTAATGATTTTGTCCTATGACTGTGTGAAGATGAGCGTGTTGCTGTGCTCCTAACTGAGGCTTTCTATAGTTAAAACTTCAAAGTAATGCATAGTTGCCCAATAAAACATATTGACCTTCACAATGTCAGAACTAAGGGCATGCTTTAATTTGTTTGAATGGTTTGTGGGTCACTGGCATCAGTGCCAAAGTGCAGTTTGTTACAGGAAGTCGTGAAACCAGGAAAGTCAAAGTCATCTGGGAGAAGTGATGTAATTATTTAACCGTTCCCAGCTTGTGATCCTATGGATACAAGACTAACGAGGGCCGCTTGTGAACCATCCAAAGAAAACGATTAAACTGCCACCGCACCATTAAAGTGATGCAATATTTATGGACTCATATAATGACATCATGAGGATTTTGTTGTAATTGAAAGGATGATACTCCATCACAGCGGCCATATTTTGCTCACTCCAGCTCTCAATCAGCCACTTTCCCCCCCCGAGAACCTTCTCCTCAAACATTTCCTTAGTCGGTAGTGGAGGTCCTGCTGGAGAGACGCCCTGCCTCTCCTGATTCAGCCGCCTGTTAGAGCACAGTCCAGTATTCACTCCTGCCACATACTAATCCTTTCATTAGGCTCGGCTTCAGGCAGCCCTGTCAAAGAGCTGACTGTGTGGGGAGTCAAGCAAGACCGAGACTGATACACAGAGATACATTTACAGATACGTACTGTAACTCAAACACTGAAACACCTCCCCACAAAAACATGTACTGTAGAGTATATGCATACTCAAGACTCACATTCACGCTTCCAAATATATCTGTGTCACTCACCTTTTCTGTACTGCTGTTGGATATGATACAGCTTCTAGCCTCTTGTATTTGTGGCTATGTTTGTTAATGATAATATTACAGTCAGCCTTTGGGCTCTTAAAGTGAAGCAATGTCGACTCTTTTACCATCTTGATTTGATTTATTTGAAGGATTTTTAGAGGCCTGAGGAGATTGAACTATTTCGCAAGACAAAAACAAAAGAAAGACAAACATAATGCTGTGAATCAGAAATATTATTATTATTATTTATTCCCTTAAAGAGATACATCGACCATTTGGGAAATAAGTTTATTTGCTTTCTTGCTGAGAGTTGAATGAAGAGATTGATTCCACTCTCATGTCTTTGCAAGTCCACCTTGGATGGTCCCATTTCTGGAGTTAGGAAGTCATTTTATCACCATGAGTGTCTATGAGCTTTTAAGTCGTAATGTGAAAAAAAGCTACAAAGATGTGTCCTATTTTATTGTTCAGTGTGTTTAATGTCCCAGTGAAGATTCATATTGCTATCCAAAAATGGTGAAAAGCTTTTTATTACAAAGTAATATTGTCCCAGACTTGTTTCTGCACCAGTTCATCCTTTAAAACCACAAAAATATTGCTTTATCTGACTTGTAATCAAGGATAATGCTAATAGATAACTTTTCTAATTAATCTAAGTCACTCTGCATTGACTAAAACTAATGGATACTGATATACTATATTACAAATTAAAAGTGAGCAAAAATGTATTTGCAATACATGAATTAATAAAAGTTTTTCAATCTCAGCCAACATTTACTTTTGTCTGCGATGTATCTGTGTAATATGACATATGGTATGCAACTTGTATTTTGAATTTTCCAGTAGGGAACTAATTTTCCAAATACTCAGACACCACATGAATGCAGGGTAAACATGGAGCTAGAGGCTGGAGAGGAGTCATCCCTATGTTTCCAGGGTTCTATGTTCCTGCAAAAAAGGTTCTGTGTTTCCCGCTTGGACATAGAACCTGGGAAACATAGAACCTTTTTTGTGTAAGCGGGGAACATAGAATCTTTTTTGCAGGGTTAAGTGGGGAACATAGAACCTGGGAAACATAGAACCCTGGAAACATAGGATGAACAGCTAGCATGGCTCTTTCAGAAGGGTAACAAAATCCCAAACTTTGTTTTTATGTTTATTTTTTTGTACGAATTCAACAAACAAGATTTAATGTATTCATTAGTGAGCTTTACGAGTTTTTGAAGGTGTATTTTGTTTCCCCTGAATAGAGCCAGGCTAGCTGTTAACACCTGTTTCCATTCTTTATGCTAAGGTATGTTAACATGCAATTGGCTTTAGTCTTATATGCATAGTCATAGTTCAGCATTATGGGAAATACTCTTATTTACTTTTTGGCTCAGAGTTATATAAAAATATTTGTACCACTCTTATATCTGTCCATTAAATCAAAGATTACAGCCAGGAAATGGTTAGCATAGCTCAGCAGCATAAAGACTGGAGACGGGTTAGTAGCTAGCACGCCTCTTTCTAAAGGTAACAAAATCCCAAACTTTGTTTTCACATTTAGTATATTACATAAATTAAACAAACAAGATATAAAGTGTGAATTAGTGAGCTTTAGAAGTTTTTGAAGGTATATTTTGTTTGCTCCGAACAGAGCCAGGCTAGCTGTTAACCCCTGTTTCCAGTCTTTATGCTAACGTATGTTGACATGCAACTGGCGGTAGTCTTATAGTTAAATTCAGCATTGTGAGAAATACACTTATTCACCTTTTTGCTGAGAGTTAGATTAAAATATTAGTACCACTCTCAAATTTGTCAAATAAATCAAAGGTTACAGCCAGGAGATGGTTAGCGTAGCTTAGCATAAAGACTGGAAACAGGTGAGCAGCTAGCATCCCTCTGTATGAAGGTAGCAAAATCCTTAACTTGTCATTTTACACTTAATTTTTTTGTAAAAAATTAAACAGACAAGATATGTGTTAATTGGGGAGCCTTAAATGTGTATTTTGTTACTTTTAGACAGAGCCAGGCTAGCTTTATACACGTTTCCAGTCTTTATGCTAAGCTATGCAAACATGTTACTGTCTTATATTTAAAGCAATAGTTCAACATTTTGGGAAATACATTTATATTTACACTTAAAATATTTGTTCTCTCATATCTGTCCGTTTCATGAAAGGTTACAGCCAGGAGACAGTTTGGTTAGCTTAGCATAAAGACTGGAAACAGGAATAAATAGCTACCCTGGCTCTGTCCGAAACTAAAAAATCTACCCATGTTGGGAGCCACTAATTTAGCCTTTATATCAGTCATTCAGACTCCTCATATAAAATGCTTCATGATGGGTGTAATGGTTTTAAATACACAAGGATATAATTTTGGAAGAGATAATGTATCTCAAGAGATGCTGTGTTTAAGTAAATATAAATAAATAAATAGAGAGCTGTCTAGCAGTATGGCACATTAAGTCACCCACTGTGGGTATATTTAGATAGATGTATATGTCCCAGTTTTCTTCTGTATCCACAGAACACACGCTCACACTAACACACTGTCATTTGTGCATTTTTAAGCACACACCCTTGCACCCTGCCTCATATTCTCACACATCAGTGACAACATTGTTTTCCAGAAGCTGCAGTCCTAAAGGAATGCTTAGTTTGGCGAAGGCAGTTAAACTAACACGTCAAAGTGGCCTGGCACATTTCTGATTTTTAAATGACACAGTAATGCTGTTGTAATGGAGGTCAAGATGTTAACATTAGCTGTCTCTCTGATGTCAAACCTCTCTGTCTCTCTTCTTTCTGTTTTCTCTGCTAGGAAAACAACATGAGTAAACCATCGCTCACTATGGAGGATTTGTTTTCTCATGAAATGTAGCATTTTTGCTCCACCCGTCACTCTGCTTCATTGTGGCTAATGTGAAGAGGACATTATGGACTGACTGTGGGAGTCAGCGAAGTGATGAGTCACATATGAGCGATAGATGATGTAACAGTGTTGCTGACCATGGAGCTAATTGGACAAACAGAAAGGGAGATGTTTTTTCTCATACATTCACTTTGCCAATGACAAAACAAGTTACAGTCTCAGGCAGTGGAGAGGCGATGACCTAATTCAGATGAAGTGACCTCATACTGATAAGTAGCCCGCCTCCTCACTGGGTGATGGAACACAATCACAAATGGACTCTTATCATCGAGGCTGGAGTGTGTGAGGTTACATGATATTTCTGTGTGTGTGAGTAGATGTCTAAATCAGAGGAGTGAGCTTTGATGCTACATGCAGCGATGTTGCGACGTGGACTGCTAGCTTGGGTCTCCCGTGTTGGAGGTGTGCTGGTGCTCCTGTGCTGCTCCCTGTCGCTCCTCTATGTGATGACCTGCAGTCCGCCACACTCTGATGACCCTCCGCTGAGCCATGCTCTCCCCCACGCTGGACCCAACCACCCCAGCCTGGGGGGCACAGGGCCGGGGATTGGAGCAGGAGTAGGTGGGACAGGAGGAGCTCGAATTGGGGCTGCTCAGAGCGGTGGACCCCCAGGTGGTCAATCTTATCAGGTGCTCCTTCAAGAGCGCGAGGAGCAGCATCGCCTCCACATCTCCTCCTTGAAGAAGCAGATAGCTCAGCTCAAGGAGGCTTTGCAGGAGCGTAGCCAGCAGCTGAAAGGAGTGCAGGAGAGCCTGAAGAGAGCTGCTGGGGGACCAGCTGAGGGACAGGAAGCTGGGGCTGGGTCACAGGGAAATGGTCTCGGGGAGGCTCAGGGAGCCAAGAGCCAGCAGGCGGACCTCCAGGAGTTTCTGCGGAGCCAGCTGTCAAAGGCCGAGGTGACTGCAGGCACCAGGCTGCCCAGCGAGTACGCAGTGGTGCCCTTTGAGAGTTTCACCCTGCAGAGGGTGTACCAACTGGAGATGGGGCTGACTCGTCATCCCGAGGAGAAGCCTGTGAGGAAGGACAAGAGAGAGGCACTGGGGGAGGTGCTGGAGATGGCCCTGCACAGCCTCAACACGCCATCATCCCAGCAAGACAGCAGGAGTGCAGTGGAAAACACTCAAACAAGCAAAGTGTACACACCATCTGACTTCATAGAAGGTGAGAATATATCAAATATCAACCCTTTCTCCAGAAAATTATGTTTATATACAACTATGAAATGCAATTCTGCCTGAATTACATTTTCTGTTAACATAATGAGGGGATGTTAAATTATACACCATGCCTCAAAAAAAAAAAGTCTTAAAACATTGATCAGTTCAATTTTTACTGACAATGTGTTTCATTTTTTGCCACCCAAGTATCTGATCTTGCAATACAATAGTAGCTCACTGCAGCATTATTAAAGTTTTTTATGGTTATGTTTGTTAAGGTTAGAAAGAGAGATCGTGGCCTGGTTTAATGCAGGAAAAATAAATCCTCAATAACTTGAAGCAAGAGACATGATCCACGATCACTCCTAACGTTAAACGAAAACCTCAACCCCTAAAAGACCATTTGTATATCAGTTACTCACCCCATATTATGTTGAATTTGTGAAGGAAACTTTGTTTTTCTCACATGCCTCCATGGCAAATAAAGAATCCAAAAACTAAGAAAATTCTTGATGAATTGGAGTAAAAGGGAACCACGGTTCACAGCAGCAAAACTACACAAAACATCTGTTTATAAACTCTCACACAACTCGTGCAGTATAATCCAAGTCTCATTTATCCAGTTGTATGCTCAGTATTTCTCAAACAGGTGCATTTTCACTAAAACCTTAGATTTAAAAAACTTCAGTATAAACAGTGCCATGCTTGCCCAGGCATGCTACTCATAAGTGTTTTGAATAGTAAGGTTAAATCGAAAATGCATATGTTTGGGAAGTACTGAGCATACGACTGAATAAATGAGACTTGGATTATACTGCACGAGTTGTGTGAGAGTTTGTAAATGGATGTATTGATTTAAACATGGACCCCCTTTACCCCAATTCATCAAGAATTTTCTCAGTTTTTGGATTTTTCGTTCACCAAGGAGGTATGGGAGAAAAACAAAGTTTTCTTCACAAATTCAAAGTAACACGGAGTGAGTAACTGATACACAAATGATCATTTGGTGGGTGACGTATTCCTTAAATACAGAAGAAAGTCCACAGTAACTTGAAGCATGAGGCATGTGTTTATTAACATTTAAGTGAAACCACGATTTCTCCATAATCTTAACCATCACAAGATGCCTCAGCCATTCAGAGTACATTTTGTAAAATAAGGATGTGTGTGTTTATGGCAGCCTCACTCTGTGTCTGCCTTGTAGACAATAACGTAATATTTGTCACCACAACATAACTGGGAAAACAAATTAGTACCATATAAACGTAATTTCCTGCAGACAAGGTTGCACTTTTTTTTTCTACATCCAAACACTACACTGTGCTTTCTTCTTTCAGCCCCGAGTCACTTTGATCTCTCTTTTTTTTTGTGTGTGAATCCCTGGAAGGTCAGAAATATGTGTGTGTGTTTGTGTACAAGTACAGCCAGGATATCCTCCTAATTTGTTCTGCTCAGCTCTGATCACAACCACAGGAAATGAACTCAGATGCTGCTCATTCACAGTGGAGCATCTCTTCAAACGCTGTATTTTAGTGTGTGTGTATGTGTGTTCTGTGAAGGTCACCACGTTCAGTGTGTGAGTAGGTGGAGGTTTTTAAAGTGAGCAATAGGGGCACCTGGCTGGTAAGAAATGAGCCATAGGTCACTGGCGTATATATGGAGCTCGTGTGTGGCCCTTCTTAATCTAAGTGCGTGTTTATGCAACAGTGATTTTAATAGATGTGCATACATTTGTGCGTATCTGTGTGTAAACAGCCTCCACAATTCCTCAGCGAGACAGCAGGAGAGTGCAGCTAGCTTTTAATGAAATAGCGACTCCCTTCTGCTCATATTTTTTTGCACTTAATGCCCTTTAATGGACTCGGACATCGATTTTGAGCAAATCTTGAACAAGCAGCAATTTATCCAAGCTGCCAGCCAGACAAGTGAAAGGCAGTCTGGATGGCCAGACTGACAAAAGCATCTTCAGGGAGCTTTCAGGGCTGCATTGGCAAGCTAGTGAGCTGAAACTGCACACAAATAGAAGAGGTATGCAAAATGAACTTGCCCAGCTACTGAGCTCTGTCCTTAAAAAGGGACAGAACAGTACATTTAGACAGAGGGGCAGAGACAGGAAGTGGAAGCATTTAGTCTAAATTGTTCAGCCTATTTACTAAATGAAAGCTTATCGTGTCCTCATAGGAAGCTGGCCAACTTAACAGGAAGGCCTTAATTCAAGCCGCTATCAGACTATAAATGGTTCCTCACAGACATCTTTCTGTTCTCCATCGTCTTTTTCTGACTTGCTCTTCACTTTCTTATTTATTTCTATCTCTCTGCTCTTTTTTTTTTATCATCCAAGCTCTCTCTGATGTCTATTTCCAGTGCTGTGTTTTCTTCCTCTTTCTCCCTCTCTCTTCCCTCTGGTCTTACTTCTTACTTTCTGTACGCCATTTCCCATTTTCTTTCCACCCCCACAGACCTCAGTAGGTCCATTTGCAAGTAATAATCCTTGTAATAGCAGAGTAATTGAAAAACAACTTCTCTCTGGAGGAACAAGCTGACGTAAGTCCTACAACAAGAAAATTGGTCTGGATGACCAGAATAGCCTCTCTCTGTCAGTGCATGTGTGTGTGTGTTACATGTGTATTATGTACAGTAATGGCTGTTTGCCCAGCAGCAGCAGAGTGCATGGACAGTGTCTCCTGTGGCCTCATATGCCCTCTTTCTGTCCCCAAATATACACACAGTATTAGTCTGTCACAAGCTGATGCTAAAAATGATGTTCCCCAAAAAAAAGTTGTTTATTTTGCAGAATTTTTTAAGATTAGATGTTTAAAATACTAACAGGGAAAAACATGATCTGTGGCTTTTAGAAACACAGAAATCCTCAGGGGATTTAAACAAAAGCTGCACCCTGGAGAAAACAAGAAAAACAAAATCACTGCGACAAAGAAACACACAGAGAAGCTACATGCACAGAAACTAAAATCTGACATTAACCCTCACTGTGGACAACAAATATACACTCAGATTGTTTATGCACTGGCTTACATGTACACTTTATCCTGCATTTATGCTCTATTCATACATGTTTGTGAGGTAATGTGTTAATATGTAACTTAATACATCATATTATTTTCCCAAAGGCACTAAAAGTTCAGTTTATAGTAGCTGTTTATTCACAACTGCAAGATTTAAAGGAGTAGTTCAGCATTTTGTGAAATACACTTTCTTTCCAGGAGTGAGATGAGAAGATTGACACCATCCATCTAACTTTTGGCAAGAAAGCCAATAAGCAAATTCTTCTAAACATGCGTATATACTGAATATATCTTAGAAATAAGGGTTTTAAAAGGATTTCTCCTGAAGGGCGGAGGTTCTACCCCAGACCATTTGCCTCTGACAAACCCTTTTTTTAAAGAGAGAGGTTTTTTCAAGGGTTCTTTTTGAGACGACGAGTTCCCTAAAGGGTCCTTTTCATGCAAAGAACCCTTTTATGACAGAAGAGTTTTTCAAGGATAATTGAAAGCACATGTGTTAAAAGATCCTCACCCTCAAATGTTTATCCATGTTTTAAATGGTAATTTAAAATGTAGGTGTATTCCCTTAGTCAATTCATTTTACTTGTGTTCTGCCTCAGTTGATATCTTTACCATCATTTAATAATAATATTGCCTACCTGTATTGAACAGACATTATGTTAAGTCAGCATTCTGGTAGAGTTGAGATCCACTGCACCACTGAAACCGTAAAGGCTGTAGTGGTAGTAATTTCAAAAAATTTCTGTCCCCTAAAACGTGATTGTGAACCATGAGTGTTGTGTGTTGCACTGAACCACATCAACCCTGGCCCTTTAAAAGCCTCATGAGGCTCAAGGTTGCTGGATGTGGTTTCCTTGGCCCCAGGCTAACCTGTTGATTACTGGAATAAAAAAAGGTACTCAGAGCTCTAGATGTAACCCTTGGACTATAAAAGAGTATATGGCATAACCTCCTCAGTGGGTTCTAGATGAAACCCTTGCAATATAGAAGGGTTATTGGTGGAACCCCCTTTATTGGTTATTATTGGCACCCTTAGAAAGTGGAGCAGCCCCAGATAGAACCCTCAGACTCCTTTTCCACCAACATGGAACTGCTTCCTTTCCGGTTCCTGTGCTTGAACTGTTCATAGCATTTCGACCAAAAGTAATGATTCAGAACCAGAAAAGCTGGTTTTCAGCCGAAACCAAAAATAGCAGGTTTTTCTTGACCTGAAGAGTCTTCTGTGATGACATCAGTTGGCGTGTCATGTTCTACAGGTGGGAAAGAGATGATGGAGAAGGCAACAAAGGAGAAGCTAAGTGAGAAATTGTCTCATTAATGGTTGGTCGATGCTTGTTGTTTGGGTAAAATCAAATACCTGTAATAAGTGAACAGAAGTTTGCAGTTAAATAATGTAATATGAACTTTTTCTACTACTGTTTTCTTCCATTGTGCATCTTGCAGCTCCTTCCATTAATTACACATCCTACATTACAATGGTTCCACCCATTCGCGTTCCAGTTCGCACTGGACCAGCTATTGCGATCGAGACAAAATTTTTGTGACTACATATTAAAATGAAGACCAGAACACTTAGACACTCTCACTGCAGACAGAACCAGCTTTCTCTGGAGCTGTGCCCACTCTTCAAGCTCCTTTTTGCTCATTCTAACACAACCCTTCCCTCCAGCTCTGGTAGGTGATGTACGGCCCTTCGTTACTGGTGGAGGCTGCACAGTCATCATCCCCTACTGGAGGCAATGTCCGCCAGTAAAGATAGTTTGTAAAACGTCATATTGGTGCAGATTAATCGGCCAAAACGATAAATCGGTCAACTTGTAATTCTAGGTTGCAACCCTTTATGTTAGGGTCTAGGTAAAACCCTCTGAACTCCAGTTGGAACCTTTATAAAAGGTTCTACCACAAACTTAAAAGTGTTCTCCTATGAGGACAAGCCAAAGAACCCTGTGGTTCTAGTTAGCACCTTTATTACTTAAAGTGTGTTGTACATGAATACAGCCACTGATAGTCGCAGTAAAAACATGCACAGTCACAGGCACTGCATCTAAGTTTGCTTGGTCATGAGTTCATGTCTCTGTGTCTCACCCATCAGGTATCACCCGTACGGAGAAGGACAAAGGTACGCTGTACGAGCTGACCTTTAGAGGGGAGTCAAGTAATGAATTCAGACGCCTGGTCCTCTTTCGTCCCTTTGGACCGCTGATGAAGGTGAAAAATGAGAGGGTGGACACGGCCAGCGTCCCCATCAACATCATCGTCCCACTGTCCAAACGCACAGACAAGTTCAAACACTTCATGCACAACTTCAGGTGAGACTCAGTAATTAAACCTTTTCTCAATTTTCGAATTCTTTATCCTGTTTCCACACACAATGTGACATAAACAGAGGCACCACAATGAATTATTCAAGACGGTGTGTTGTGTCACACGTAACTAATTCAGGAAAATGTGATACTGTGTTATTCAAACCCAGTTTCAATTCCAATTTTACATTTTAATTGGGGATCAGGCAGACAGTGACAAGAAGCAGGCGAGATTAGAGGAAAGAAAATTAACATCAGAGGCTATTTTTTCCTCTCTTTTTTTTTTAAGGAACATGTAATTAATATTTTTGAAACCGCACGTGTAGCGTTATCAGTTAATTTATTTTGGTGCTGGTAGGCATCATCAGAATGTAAATAAATCTAAGAGGTTTAAATGATTCACACAAGAGCATGAATAAAGATGGCCTCACAGATGCCAGCCCAGTTTTTATCAGTTACCACATGACCACAGGAAATGTAATTTCATACATATAAAATTTTAATGCACAGAGCTAATAAGCATCTCAAATACACCACATTATAACACAAATAGATCCAGGCTAGTATGTGTACGTGATAAAACCACGCAGGATTATTGATAAAGAAAAAAAGCAAAGCGGGCTTGTCTGAGCTCCGCAGTCCGTCACCATCAGTTGAGGAAACATCCTCCTTAATGTCTGTGATTTATTGGGCAGCTGCTGCTGCTTATCACAGCTCTTTTTACATGGTAAATCCTGCTTAGTAGCAGTGTTGCGGCCCATTAAAATGCCCCCCTGGGCAGACCAGCAGCAGTTGATATACAGCATGGCAAGAAGTGTACTTACTTGAAAGACTCGGCGAGTCGCTGAGCAAACACTTTACCCTCATCCATATTAAAGGTGCACCAGGAGAAATTGTGCATGTGTGTGTACAGGAGGTGATAACAGTGAGTAACTGTGCATTTATCAAATATTCTTTATTCACAGTTAGACTGGAAAATAACAGCATTTATGATGCGCTGTGATATATTTCCCAAGTGCAGAATATAGAGATAAAATGGGAATTCGCACAAACAAGCTGCAAACATTTGCAGATGGGCACTCGCGTTTATAAAGAAAATACTGCTCTCACTGCATAATGAAATAATTCTGGGTTTTTTCTACTTTGTGGTCCCAGCGACAAAATGAAGAATGCCTCATCAGATCCCAGAAAAAAAAAACATTTACTTCTAATAATGCCAGCATTTAGAGAAAGCCTTTAATACAACAGAATCCACAATGACAGTAAAATCATTTTATTTATGACTACTCAGTATCCTCTGCGTGTAATTAGTCATCTTTAAGCATTTTGTGTTTGTCTAGTGGTGTTTTGTGAGACATTTCTCCCCATAAGCTTCTGGGGAAAACTCTGACAACTGTGTGTGTGTGTGTGTGTGTGTGTGTGTGTGTGTGTGTGTGTGTGTGCATGTGTGTGTGTGTGTGTGTGCGGTGGGAGACGAGGTGAATTATCTTCAGCATGTGTGTGATATATTTGACATTTCTCCATCAAAGTGCCTGCAGGCATCTACCACCTGGTCTCTCTTTTACTCACGTACAATCTCCCCCCTGTGTTTGAACGTGGTGTCAGAATGAGGAGAGTGAGTTTTATAGCTGAGAATGAAGATTATCTTCATTAGCAATTAAATTGTCTGTAAATTTTTTTTTTGATTAATTAATTAATCCTTTAGTCTTTAAATGTCAGGAAATGGTGAAATAAGAGCGTTGTTTTGTCCAGCTAACCCAAAGAGATCAAATTTGCAGAGAAGAGCAGTAAATCATCACATTTGAGATCTGAAACCAGCAAATGCTTGTTATTTTCTCTTGATGAATGATTTAAATGATCTTTTATCTGAGTTGTTGTCAGACTAATCATTTCACACTTGAGAAATAAAATCTCTAAACCAAGGCCTTCTTTTGAAAACCTCTCATGTAATCTTCCTTCCTGCTCCGCTTGAGTACGCTTTCATCCATAATGTCCCTTCCTGTGTGTCTTTGTGCGTATGTACAGGGAAGTCTGTGTGCGTCAGGACGGCCGGGTCCATCTGACAGTGGTGTATTTTGGGAAAGAGCAGATGAGCGAAGTCCGCAGCACTCTGGAGAACACATCCAGGTGGGTTGGAAGCACAGCCAAGATCAGATCTTTGAATTAGAGGCCAAACACAGAATACGGAAGGCAATTTATGTAATGAAATGAACAATGCTGCAGTCATGCTCCCGCTCTCAGAAGCAGACGCTGTAAAAACATTTTTTCCCACTCATACATCAGAAACCTCTTCACATTTTCTAATCTGTCGGTCTCTTTCATGACACACACAAAACACACACACACACACACACACACACACACACCTCCTGGCTCGGCGTCCTGCCACAGCCAGTCATCTGTCTGATGAATAATGGAGCAGCGCGCCACCCACGCTGAGGAGCTGAGAGCCACCAGCCAACACAGATAAATTACAACATGCCTGTGATCATCCCTGACTCATGTTAAACCTCTCACACGGACCCCTCGACACCCACACCTCTGGAGATGATCGCTGCTGGCTGTTTAGAAGTCAGATCCACTGTGGATTGAGCCTCAGATTCCCCGAGGGGGTTGCTATGGTGATGCTTGTCGATTTTCCAGGCCTGAAGGTTTTTGTGCGGCCTTGATACAGTCGGACTATCTCTAGTATCACACAGCGTCTCTCTTTGTCCCTCAGTGTCTCTGCCTGCTGCTGTCGCTGTGGGGGGGGGCTGTAAAGGAAAAAAAATGCAGTGTCAAATATTGTTGAAGTGAAAAAGAAGGCAAACTCAGAAAAGAAGCACATAGAAACATACAACAAACCGTATTGATTTTAGTGTGGAAGAAATCTTAAAAGAGTGATTGAGAAGGTTTGTGAGAGAAGCACACTGAATGAGAAACAGTTGGAGCAGGAGAAGGTGGATGTACAGTCACTGTTGGATAAAGTACACTGTCCTGGCTGCAGTTCTGCCTTAAACCCTTTTAGGCTTTTTGTATTCTTCTCACAGCCGAACAATGCATTCATCAGTTATGCAGCGGCTTATCTGGGTGAGAATCGGTGGCTGTAATCAACTCTGTACTCCTTCTTTTCTTTTATCTGGCTTTCAGACTGTGGTTGAAATGATCATCACTGGAAGACCATTATCCAGGCAGACACACACATATACAGTATGGGCACTGATACAATCACAGACTGCATATAGGCTCACAGAGGAAGATGCATGCGCGCAAGTGCAATTGGGCTGCAACTGAAGATTATTTTCTTTACTGCGTTATGTAAAAAAAATAAATATAGGTCCAGTATGTAAGATTTAGGTGAATGTAGTGGCGTCTATTGGTGAGGACTGCAGATTGCAACCAGCTGAAACTCCTCCAGGTTAAGACTGTCCATTGTTCAGGAGGTTTTTACCGCCGCGTTATCCACAGAGCTCTCTTTCTCCAAAACACAAAACAAAACAAACGCAGTGATTTTAAAGTGGTAAAAACACTGAATAAAGCACTTTCACATTCAAAAATCAGTGTTTTTCTGACACTATTCGTTGCAGAGGGGCTGCTGACTACTGCAGCTGACTTGAAAATGTGAATGGCTCTATCTAGAGCAAGGAAAAAGTTGGAAAATGTCTCGTGGGCAGACGTGTGAGGAGGTACAGGCACTTACCCCAAGCCTGCCTAAATTTGATGTTGCTCCATTGTTTTTGTGGTGACCAAGCTGGCTGAAGGGGATGGATTTCCGTTTTCGGTCCTGGCCAATCGATGAGTCGGGTTTTCTTCTTCCTGGTCAGTGGTAGTTTCGGGCAATATCGCCCCCAAACGAGCAGGCGATTTGGTCCGTTTTAAAAAATGCAGTGTGAAAGTGAACCAAACCAAATGAAGGTGTGAAATTTTTTGGCATTCCCCGCCCAATCGAACCGAGTCCCTTGGACTATCCTGGTGTGAATGCGCGGTGTCAGAAGTGATCAGACAGCACATCAAACAAACTAGGTTTTTTTTTTCAGCATAACCTTGCTCTTAGCTTTAAGCTAATGCTAATGTCACACAATGGTCGTAGAACATGCTGATATTTAGCAAGTATAATGTTTACCATGTTCACCATTTTAGTTTAGAGTGTTAGCATGCCAACACTAAATAGCACTAAACACAAAGTACAGCTGAGGCTGATGGGAATCTCATTAGTTGTATAATGTCATAAATCAAAGTATTGGACACACTAAAATTTTGACCTGATGATAGCATGAGAAGAAAGGTAAGGGGATCATCAAATTTCCTTAAAGGAATATGAATTTCCGTGCCAAATTTCATGTCAGTGCATCTGAAAGTTGTTAAGAAATTACACTTAAAACTCAAAATGTGAACCTCATGGTGGCTGTAGAGGAAAAGTCAGGGGCTCACCAACGTGATTAGGATTCACAACCAAACGCAAACCATTCTTTGCATTTGCAAAGTTGTATTGAACCAGTTTTTGGTGATTTTACTTGATAAATTAATAAGTTATCACAGTTGACTGTTATCGACCAACTAATCTGTCACACTAATTTACTCAGCATAAATGCACACATGCATGCAAATGTTAACAAATCCTTCTTACATTCTAAACCTTAAATAATCTTAATATCAAATTCAACCCTAAAAACCAAGACCGAACCATGAAAGAAGAGTTGAGGATCGGCCTAAACATCCTCCCTTTGAAGGTCTACACACACACACACACACACACACACACACACACACACACACACAAACAAGTCAATATCTGTTCCCAGCAGTGATGGCATCATTAGTGGCTGATCTGATTCTACACTGCCCTTCCTACAAATTAAATTCACCTCTAGAAACTGGTTTGATTTGCGTCTGCCCCCAAACAACCTCTAGCTATTTGTCCTTTTTTTTTTTTTTCTTTATCACATGCAGTCACACTTCCTGCTTTTTAGTAGCACAGCGTCCCTGCGGAAATGCTTTCAAAAGAGCATTTATACGACTATCACCAGCCAATGTCAACTACCTGAGGGAAAATTCTAACAAGTCTAACAAGATCTAAACTGTCCCGGATGGCAGCCAGCTTTGTAACCTCTATCAACCCCTCTTCCAGGATAAAATGAGGGTTAAAAAAATGTGTGGGTTTTTATTTGCAGGTGCTAATTATTTGGGTGTATATATCAAAGGCCAAACCAGTTCTACAGGCACAAAAGCCAAAACAGCTAAAGCAGAATATGGGAGATAGAAAAGCAATGCTCCAGAAAATCAGAGCTTCACTCTTCAAGCATTCTGCTAGACATGGGGGATATCGTTTAAAATAGATAGGATCAGCTGCTCAACTTTCAAGTATATCGCTTACACATCCATACTTCAAAGCCTGAACTCAGGCTCAAACCATCGGGGGGAATGTCAGTTTCTGAGCCTTACATGCTCAAGAATAATGATTGAGAAGAACGTGAGATAAAGGGGGAAAGAGATACCGGAGAGGGAGAGAAATTGTGTGTAACGGAGGGAGAAGAATAAGTGATCTGTTTTAAAGAGATACCGGTCGATAGGTATGAATAAGTACTGTGTTTCAGAGGCAGAGTAGAGACGATGGCTGAGGGGAAAAACAGTGTGAAGGGAAGTTGGAGGAGAGGTGTTAAGATAAGATTGGAGAGCAAGTTGGAAAAAAAAGACAGATTTTCTGAGGATGGAAGAAGAGCATCAACAAGGATATCAAAGGAAGTGGTGCGTTAAGATGAAAGAGAAGGATCAGAATTTTGGGCAGACAAAGAAACGAAGGATGAGATCATTCTGTTACTCCTTCAGCTACAGCCTTTACCTCAACTTGTGACAGCCTCTCACAAAAACCTTTCATGTTATGTGGCATTTCATTAAGTTCACAGACAGGTCGACAACTGTCTGAAGAGCCTCTGACAGCTGAGGAAGTGAGAGGATAATGTCAGGCAGAAGGTGATTGAGAGATTATGAGTGGATGAAATGATAAACAAATCACAGAGGATTTTTGAAAGCTGTCCAATATTCATTTTAAAGAGACTCTTTACAGATCGCCAGTACCCATTCTGCAAATTACTCTCCGTTGATAACTCGTGTAGCTGTCTTGCCTGAGGGCAGAGCCTGAGAGTGATCACAACAAGTCTACATTTTTTATAGCTTGCACTTACCTCTCCATTACATGCACAGACTGCTGATTCCCCAGTTCACTGTAAAGCACAAGCTTTTTTTTCTTCTTCTTCTTCTGCACGAGAGCCCGGAGAGGAAACACCAGCCTCCCTGCTCTGTAAACAGCAGACAGGTGACAGACAAACAGGGAAAATTTATTTTTTATAATTTATTGCATGCATTAAAAAAATCCCAGGTAGGAAAGAGCTACCAACAGAAAACATCAAAGAACATCGGAAAGCACAGAGAGGTGTTGACGATGTGAAAGCAGTTTACTGTCTTTAGTTGAAATGTATTTATGGGGCAACAAGACTTGACTGAAGGCGGCACACTGCATTTGCATAAAACTAAACATTTGTAACTACTATGCAATATTTTAAAAATCTGACAACTAAAAAGAAATGCAGTTTTGTTTGAGGAAGTTAAGTCTTGAGCTAAATGCTAACGCTGCATGCTAGCACACTCAGTGGCAATGCTGACATGCCGTTGTCAAACAGTTGCAGTATTTACTATTACAGATGGAGTCAACGAGACGTCACAAGATCACTACCATCTTTGTTTGGGGGAAAAGGGGTATCTAATCTGTGGTCTGTACAATGCAAAATCTTGAGTCAGCTTCAGTTTTTCATCCTTTCTGGTTAAATTCACAACCTTGGGTTACATTTTGACTGAAAAATATTGAGGCTAACATGGCGTTTGAGCATGTTGAAGCCCTTTCTGGTGATCTAAGTCAAGATATGGCAGAAAAGTTGCCCTGATCGGCTTTGAATTATGTCTTGAGTTGTCCTACATGATACCACTACCTGCATGCTAGCGTAAAAATGATTAATTAGTACGAGTATAAGCAAAGGACTTTAACTGGGCAAGCCTGGGCCTTTAACAACCACCAGAATCCAAGACCAAACACACATCCTAGAGGTATCACTAATATAACATTACTATATGACATATTTGTATGATGAGCAGCA